CACCTGCTCTTCCGTACTGCCTTTGATGACGGATGTGAATATAAATCCACACGTCAGAAAAACAAAACTCTTTTCCAGCGCTTGCTATCTACGAAGCCTCTACAAGCACGCAGAAAGTGTTGCACTTGTTCTGTTAAATACTGAACAGGCTTGACCCCCTTGTGCTGGAGATGACATTTTGTCGTGCATATTATTACCTAAACCAAGTTTTACATCGTCAATTTCGGTCAAGCTGTACAGTACCAGCCGTATTCATTCACTTACTGTCTATACCCTTTTAGACGCTCCCTATTTTTGGACCTTCAAAAACAGCGGTCGGAAAAGCGCGCTCGAGAAGCACTTCCGAATAGTTTTGGAGCAGCTTGGGCAAAGAATTACCAGGAGGCCAGCCGCAGTACATACACAAACGCCCTATTTTTACGTATTGCCGAACGCATGTAAGCTGTTGTAGTCATAACTCAGAAGGCAGATTGCTCTTCCTTTTATGTATATTTATTCACGTATTTCTTATGCATTCTAGTGCGTCCGGTCGCGAGCGTGATCAGCGTCTTCCGCCAACGTGCCTTGATAGGTCACCGCTCTGCCGCTTAGTCTTATTTGATCACAACGATAAGGTAAGTCCAATTACTCTTTTCTTGCTCATTGCACTTTTATGGACTGGTATCCATGCTGGTTCCCCTCGTCAAACCTAGAGTACTCCTAGAACCGTGTAATCTTTTTCCTTTGACTCTTGCCACCTTACGGTTCCTCGGATAGACGCAACGGGAGGAGGATTCGGTAAGATAATTACCTCGGTTTTTGGGTTTGGAGATGTCTGCTCGGCCATGGTAGACAGTTAAGCTGTTGGGCTACTCGACGGTTTCTGTTGGCTGGTGTCGAACTTTTTCCTAAAGGATGGGACACAGAAGAACCCGACTCGTAAGCATGACCTCCGATTTCGTCAAACTTCTGAAGTCAGCCTAACATGTGGTCAAAACATCCTACAAGTCTATGCACCTGCCACAAGTACAGTCTTTCTGTACAAGTGCGAGGTTACCCATGTGCCATTTATGTATCTAGTTCTCAGGTGCTCTTCATTGATGATGCATTTTACTCCGCTCCA